ATATATAGTATATATATATTAATGAAATATAAAATTAATATAAAATTAATGAAAATATATCCTCAGGTGAGGATTAAAAAATACACACACAGTAATGACAATTGTTTTAAAAGTAAAATATACTATGTTAGATGCTGATGAATGCTATGAAGAAAAAGCTGATCAGAATGATGGGGTACTCTTTTATTTTTATTTTTTAATATATTTTTCTTGATTCCAGAGTGGAAGGGAGAGGGAGAGAAAGATAGAAACATCAATGATGAGAGAGAATCACTGATGGACTACCTCCTGCACGGCCCCCACTGGGGATCAAGCTCACAATCTGGACATGTGCCCTGTCTGGGAATCAAAACTTGATCTTCTGGTTTATAGGTCAACTCTCAACCACTGAGCTACGTTGGCCGGGCTGATAGGGTTCTCTTTTAGATAGGGTAGTCAAGGAAGGCCTCTGGACAAGGCCAGTTTGGCTCAGTGGATAGAGCGTTGGCCAACGGACTGAAGGGTCCCGGGTTTGATTCCAGTCAAGCGCATGTACCTTGGTTGAGGGCACATCCCCGGAGGGGGGGTGGGTGCAGGAGGCGGCTGATCAATGTTTCTCTCTCATCCATGTTTCTAACTCTATCTCTCTCCTTTCCTCTCTGAAAAGACCAATGAAATATATTTAAAAAAAAAAAAAAAAAAAAAAAAAAAAGGAAGCCCCCTGCGTTCTGCACAGACCTCAGTGAAAGAAAGGAGTAAGCTGTGAGGGTTTCTGGAGAACAGAAAAGGAGAGTGCAAAGGCCCTGAGGCAGCTACATGCCCAGTGTGTGGGAGTAATACTGAGGCCTGCTTGGCTTTGTCTCCCTCCCCGCCTCCATTTTTCTCCTTTCTTCTTCCTCTTTCCTCTTTTCTTCCTCCCTCCCTTCCTCTCTTCTCTCTCTTCCTCCCTTTCTTCTTTCTCTACTGAAAAAAATGTGTTTTCATGTTCAGTCTAGAGGGAGAATGGCTGGCTGTGGTCCTGAGATGATGCTCATGAGCAGGAGTGAGGCCTGTAAGACAAAACCCTCTGACTTCCACGGTGCTACAGACAGATGGATTCAGGCTTGAAGAGCCTGAGAAGGTGTTTTGACTGAAACATTTCAGTTTTTATTTTTCAATAAAAGGGGCTGTTTTTTATTATTAATTATTATTATTTCTTTTTTTGGCATCTTTTCTTTTAAATTCAAGTACTGGCCCTGGCTGGTTTGGCTCAGTGGATGGAGCTTCAGCCTGGGGACTGAAGAGTCCCAGGTTCGATTCCGGGCTGGGGCACATGCCAGGTTGGGGGCTTGCCCCATAGTGGGTGGCGTGCAGGAGGCAGCCAATCGATGAGTCTCTCTCATCATTGATGTTTCTATCTCGCTCTCCCTCTCCCTTCCTCTCTGAAACCAATAAAAATATATTTTTTAAAAAATTCAAATACCCTTCTGATCACCCATGGTCCAAGAACATTAAGATAATAAACCAAAAGGAAACAGGTATTAAAGATTGGTCTTTAGCTCAGTTGGTTGAACATCTTCCTGTGCACCAAAAGGTCACAGGTTCAATTCCTGGTTAGGGCACATATTCAGGTTGTGGGCTTGACCCCCAGTAGGGGGCGTGCAAGAGGCAGCAAATTGATGTTTCTTCCTCTCCCTTTCTCTCTCTCTCAAATCAATAAAAACATTAAAAAAAAAAAGATTTATCTTCAAACATTATAGCAAATGATGTCACTCACTTTCCTATGGTTTTGCCGACATAAAACAATATCCACACCTCGGTGGTTACCAAACAATTCAGCAGAGCTTCCTTAACTTTGAACATTGGAAGCTACCAGTTTGAATGCTACTATTTTTTAAAATATACTTTATTGATTTTTTACAGAGAGGAAGAGAGAGGGATAGAGAGTTAGAAACATCGATGAGAGAGACTCATCGATCAGCTGCCTCTTGCACACTCCCTCCAGGGGATGTGCCCACAACCAAGGTACATGCCCTTGACCGGAATCGAACCTGGGACCTTTCAGTTCGCAGTCTGACGCTCTATCTACTGAGCCAAACCGGTTTCAGCAACACTACTATTTTTTCAAGCTCCCAATAGCTTTAGGGATCTCAGCAAGAGCTGGAGGAACCAGCTCAGCCTTGGCATAGTGCCAAAGTGTGGCCAGTCTACATTTCGGGTAAATCACAGCAGCATTTACCAGGGCAGATGCCTTCTCCATGAGCTTACCGACAAACAGGGCCGTGGTTCTAGGAGGGAAAGTCTGTGGCCTCGGACAACCGGCTGAATGTCCTAAGAGCTGTTTCTTAATATGTAAAAATGTCAAAAATTCTTTGTAGAGTCCTAAGACTTCTCTCCTTATTAGGGCCACATTCTCAATGAGAGTTCGTTACACCCAGATATTATCACTGAATGTTAAAGATTCATTCTCCCATCAGATACCAAAAGCTCTCTTCTTGGTCTCATGACTCTCTACAGTAGGAGCCAAAAGAACTGGCTTTTTTCTCTTGTAAAAGGGCCTTAGCTTTAGGAAACAGGCCTGGTCATTTGAATCCTGGCTTTACCACTGCTTAGCTGTGTGATTAGGAAAATCACCTACCCTCGGTTAGCATCAGTTTTTTTCATCTATCTCAGCGATGTTCCGTTTTTTGTTTATTTTAGGTAGAGCCACTTAAAAAATAAACAATGCCTGGCCAGCATGGCTCAATGGTTGAACTTCAACCTATGAACCAGAGTCATACTTTGATTTCCTGTCAGGGTGCATGCCCAGGTTGCTGGCTCAATCCCAGTGGGAGGCATGCAGAAGGCAGCTTATCAATTATCTAATCATTGATGTTTCTGTCTCTCCCTTTCCATTCCTCTCTGAAATCAATAAAAATGCATATTTTTTTCAAAAGATATAGGGGAGGGTGGGGGTTAGGGGGAGAGAACAACCAAAGGGCTTGTGTGCATGCATATGGGCCTAGCCAGTTGCCATGGACAACAGGGGGGTGGGGGATGGGGGCATATGTGGGGAGGGGTTTGGGATGGGAATGGGGGGATGAGGACAATTATGTGATAGCATAATCAATAAAAAAATTTTTAAAAAGATGAAAAAAATTAAATAGTGCCCTGGGGTTAGAGTGTCAGACTGAAAGGTTTCAGGTTTGATTCCTGGTCAAGGGTACATATCTTGGTTGCAGGTTCAATTCCCAGCCCTCATCTGGGTGCATGTGAGAGGCAACCCATCCATGTGTCTCCCTCAGATGGATGTTTCTCTCTCTCCTTCTCTAAAAGTCAATGGGAAAAATATTCTTGGGCTAGGATTAAAAAATCCTATATAATAAAAGGGTAATATGCAAATCAACTGAACAGTGGACTGATTGGTTGCTGTGATGCACACTGACCACCAGGGGGCAGACACAGGGGTGGGGGGGGGGGAGCACACTCAGCCACAAGCCTGGCTGACTGTTGGCGAGTGCAGGGACCCATCTTCACACAGCGCCAAGGATGTCCCACTGTGGCTTAGGCCCACTCCCCAGCGAGAAGCGGACCTAAGCTGTCAGTTGGACATCCCCTGAGGGCTCCCGGACTGCTAAAGGATGCAGGCCAGGCTGAGAAACCGCCCTTTCTCACCCCCACCCCCACCCTCGCCCCGCATGAATATTGTACACTGGGCCTCTAGTAAATAAATAAATAAGAAGTAATATGCAAAACCTTGATGTATAAATAGATTAAAGATACCCTGCTCAGGCTGAAGGGGAGCTTGGGAGCACAGATTTCTATCCACTGTGCCTCCTCTTTGTTCCCCCTCTCTCAGGCAGCCCCCAGAGGATCTCCACAAACCAGGGACTTCACAGGGCACTGTTTGAAGATCACTGCTCGGCCCACAGGAACTGGCACAACTTTACCAGCCCCTAGTCTTGATCCCTCATGCTCCAGACCCTCACATTTCTTTAGGTGCCAACAGCCATGCGAGAGAAAGTCCTTCTGTACCTGCTTTTGCCCTATTCCCCAATTTTCATTTCCATTTGAAGACTTGTCAGTTTCCCAAACGATTGGCAATCAAGAATAACCTTACTCAATAGGTGACTCTCTCTCCCACTCTTTCTGTTTTCTTCCCAAGACCTTGGCTCTTGGCATTTGGGAAGCTGTGATGTGAAATTGCCTATGTGAAGTGTTATCTATGTATTTGAGGAAGCACCAAGAAGCTTCACCCATCTGACCTTTCCTTTTAGACCACTGGGGTCATCCAATCTAGGCACGGAATGATGATGGGCTGGTCCGTGACTGTGGACCAGGAAAGAAAGATCCGAATGATTCAAGAGCATGCCAAAAAAAAAAAAAAAAAAAAAAAAAAAAAAAAAAGCACCAATCCAAAAGGGTCAGGCTGAGAGGCAAAACCTTACAATGAGAGACAGGAAGATGGACTGGCTGGCTTGGGAGGAGAAAAGAAGCAGATTTTAAACTTGCTCTCTACAATGTGCCACTAGCCACATGGAAGCATTGAGATGCACTGTAAGTGTAAAATATACACTGGATGTCAAAGACTTGGAACAAAAAAGGAATGTAAAATACCTTACTTATAATTTTTTTTTGAAAGACACTTCTTTCTTTTTTTTTCTTTTTTTAAAAAATATATTTTATTGATTTTTAACAGAGAAAAAGGGAGAGAGATAGAGAGCTAGAAACGTCGATGAGAGAGAAACATCGACCAGCTGCCTCTTGGACACCCCCTACCGGGGATGTGCCCGCAACCAAGGTACATGCCCTTGACCGGAATTGAACCTGGGACCTTTCAGTCCGCAGACCGGCGCTCTACCACTGAGCCAAACCGGCTTCGGCAATAATTTTTTATGTTAAGTTTGATTCAATCTAATTTATAATGATTCTGTTTATGTTCTGTTTATATTGGTTATATTGAAGATGATAATATTTTGTATATATTTGGGTTAAGTAAACTGTATTATTAAAATTCATTCCACCTACCTTTGTACTTATTTATGTGTTTGTTTGTATTTATTTTAAAACATGAGTGCTTCATGAATTTGTGTGTCATCCACACACAGGGCCATGCTAATCTTCTCTCTATTGTTTCAATGTTAGCATATGTGCTGCCAAAGTGAGCACCCTTTTTTACTTTTTTAGATGTGGCTTCTAGAACATTTTAAATTGCCTATCCGTCTCACATGATTGGGCAGTGGTAGTCTAGACTCTAGGCTCTCGACTGGAGAGACATCCTAAGACAAAGAAACAAAGAAGCAGAGACATTATGGCACCTGAAGCCTTCCCCTCAATAAAGAGGCAAAGGTAACCAGCACACCCCTCTCAGACTTCCTCCTCTCACAAGTCGCTAAGATGAAGTCTCTCTACCCACTTTGCTGGGTGAAAGGTTTAACAAGTTTGGGAGGGTGCTGAAGGTGGGGGCAGATTCCCTTTACTCACAGTGGGCCTGGCACTGGCCCCATCACAGACTCCAATACACACTTCAGTGCCAACCCTAGGTTACTTAATTAGGTTCAGTTACATATAACAGACAAAGCCTTGTGAAAATTAATAAGCAGAGACCTCATTTACAATGGTGTTATGTGGCAGAAGGGCCTGGAGAAGACCATTTGCAGGCACATATCACTCAACACACACTACTGACCCCCACAGGAAGAGAGGCACCTTGCATCTCTGACAGGAAGTGATAATACTTGTCTACCTCAGCAGGAGGAAAAAAAAGATTCTTCCCTGCCCGGTAACAGCTCAGCCAATGGGAGACTTCCATAGCTCAAGCCAATGAAAAGTCACTATACTTTGACCTTTCAGTTTCCTTCAGTGGACTTTATCTTTTTTTAAAATATATGTATATTTTATTGATTTTTTACAAAGAGGAAGGAAGAGGGATAGAAAGTTAGAAACATGGTTCATTTGCCTCCTGCACACCCCCTACTGGAGATGTTCCTGCAACCAAGGTACATGCCCTTGACCAGAATTGAACCTAGGACCCCTTCAGTCTGCAGGCCGATGCTCTATCTACTGAGCCAAACCGGTTAGGGCAATAGACTCTACCTTTTAGAACAGCTCCTCCCAAGTCCACAAAAGAGCAGTTTCTCTGGACTTGTGAGTGGTTTGCCATTAGACCTGCATGTTGCATATTGCAATTCTTTGTTGTTTCTGAATAAACACATGTTGCTGGAGAAATATAGGGCAGTCTGTTAAAGGTCAACAGCCCAAAATAACAGTCGCATAAACAAGAGAGAACTTTATTTCTCCCTTAAGGAGAAAGAAAAAAGAAAAAAAAAAACTTGAGAGAAATAAACTTCTCTTTTGTTTTTCTACTGGTGTTTGGACTTAGTCTATTATATGCAACTGGACCTAATGAGAAAGGGATGCATGAGTTTCTAACAGTCACTTTGGACCAATGAGAAATGAGCTAATGAGGACAAAGAAGCAAGAGAGAGGGAACTTGGGACCTGGATGACAGAGGAGCTATCATTGGATTATTATACCATAATTCAGGAAGGCTATTTGGGTTCCATGTTCCAGGCAGAATAAAAGTGAAGAGGGCGGGAGTAAGACCGTTTCCTTCTTTTTAAGAGACTCCCAGGAGCAGCATACAACGCTCTATATTTCATTGGCCAGAACTTAGTACAGGGAATAGGAAATGGTATTTAGTTAATGAGTTGGTGTCTTGAATAAAATCAAGATCTATCACTGAGAAGAAAGGGGAAAATGAATGTTGGCATGGGCAATACATTTGTACCCCTCAGGTACATGTGGATGACCTGTATTTCTCTGAAAGGACCCACAGAATGGTTCTGCAGCTTCCAGCATGGGCATGTGGGTAAAAGATAAGCCACAGAGCACTGACCCTCCAAAGATCTCCCCCTGGTTCCCACAAATGAAGGGAGCATGGAGCAAATTAAGACTGTGCACAGGGACGGGCGGAAGATCATCTCTAGAGCAATCCTACTTCAGTCGCAATTGGGTGCTTAGGAGTATTGGTTGTTTGTGTTTTTTTTTTTTTTTAATATATATACATTTTATTTATTTATTTATTTATTTTTATTTTTTATTTTATTTTATTTTTTAGAAAGGAAGGGAGAGGGATAGAGAGTTAGAAACACCAATGAGAAAGAAACATCTATCAGCTGCCTCCTGCACAACCCTACTGGGGATGTGCCCACAACCAAAGTATTGTACATGCCCTTGACCAGAATCGAACCTGGGACCCTTGAGTCTGCAGGCCGATGTTCTATCCACTGAGCCAAACCAGTCAGGGCTTTGTCTCATGTATGACAGGTGTCCCAATTGGTGGCTTCATGGGTTCATGTAACCAAACTGCAAGAAGGGCAGGTGCAGCGAGCCTCAAGGGCAATTGCAGTCACTCAAATGGCACCGTCTCCCTGCATCACCTGCAGCTGCGGACTGGCTTCTGCTCAGCTGGGAATTTGTCTGCCAAATCAGCCTCATATCCACCCCCAAAACGGAGCTGCCCCTTCCTCCCTGTCTCCAGGTAGAAATTTTAAAAATGCCCAAGGGAGAGTTCTGATTGGTCCAGCATGCATCACATACCCTGTCCAGACATTAAGATTGAGTGGGGCACGAGTAAGGATGAGCCTGACTGTGGATGGACAAAATAATGCTTTGTAGAAACCTTTATTCAAATGAGAGATGAGCCCTGACTGGTTTGACTCAGTGGATAGAGGGTCAGCCTACGGACTGAAAGGTCAAGGGCATGTACCTTGGCTGTGAGCACATCACCAGTGGAGGGTGTGCAGGAGGCAGCTGGTTGATGTTTCTCTCTCTCATTGATGTTTCTAACTCTCCCTCTCCCTTCCACTCTGTAAAAAATCAATAAAATATATATATTTTAAATAAATAAATAAATATGAGAGATGAAAATACATAGAAAAAGTTTTGCCCTTTGTTGTGAACGTTTCTCCTCAATTTGATGTTTGCATTTTAGTTTGATCAATGCAATAAACACTGCAAAGCTCTCATTTTGTACTGGACTCCTGTACCCCTTTGTATCTTTTAGTCACGGTAGCAGATGATTACATTATAGTTTTTATTAAACCCGTTTCAGTCCTAAAGATATACTCAGCCTATTGATAGTATTTAGGTCTCTCCCGAGACCTCTCAATAATATCTATTCTAACTGCTGCTCTCCTGGGTTCCCTTGCCCAAATGGCTACTCACAATTACTTAGGGGTCCTTGCTGGTGAATAATAGAAGCCGGCTTAGGTGGGCTTAGGAAAAAAAAAGATGATAGAACCTGTGGGGTTCAAAAAACAGGTGCTGGAGAGATCGAAATCTGAAAATGAAAGGCGGTAAGGTACCTAGGTAGCCATTGTCTCCGTTTTTCAGTTTCTTTACCTGCTCCTGCCCCACCCCAATCCCGCCTGGGGCTATGCTGATGTTCCCCTGCTTTGCTGCACTTTCTCTGCAGATTAGCTTTCTTTGCGTTCACGGGGAAGAGAGCTGCCTCACACCCACGCCGTTCCAAAATGAGTCTATTCTCCCACATCAAGTCCACAGTCTCCTAAGGACCCGTCCCACCCCCAAATAGTAACCGACCCACTTGAGCTAGGGGTCTTCCTCTATTTGTTTTTAGGTTCACCAACTTTATTTTTTAAATCATAAAATGTTTATTTATTATTAAATTATTTTTTCTTCCAAAAGATCTTCCCTTACTCCAGTCGACTATGGTCAGGGGAATAGAGTCTCAAATGATAAACATGCCCCTGGACCCAACTGTGCAGGGGGTGGGAATACCTGTTGTTAGAATCTTCCTGAGAACTTCCTGAGATGGATCCCCAAGTGGGAAGAGCGTGGTAAAGAACAGCCAAGACCACCCTTTTTACTTCTTGCCTAAAATACCTGGCGACAGTTGGCAGTCGACAAACAATGCATATGTTACCCTGAACAAACTATTCTTTGATCAATATAATGGTTTGTTTTGGTCCCACAGAGAGCAGAGGCCTCTAACACTTGGAGTCCAGGTGATGTTAGAAGCAGAAAACAGCTTGGTCAAGACACCATCAAGATTTTTTGTTTTTGTTAATTCTCACCGAGGGTATTTTCCCACTGATTTTTAGAGAGAGTGGGAGAGACACACAGAGAGAAACATAGATGTGAGAGACACATCCATCACACATCGATTGGTTGCCTCCGCATGCACCCCATCTGGGGCCAGGGGATCGAGTCTGCAACCGAGGTACAGAGGTACATGCCTTTGACTGGAATCAAACCCAGGACCCTTCAGTCCATGGGCCAATGCTGTATCCACTGAGACACACCAGCTAGGGCCCCACCAAGATTTTTAATCCCAAAGAATGCTGTCCTCCAAGTGTAGTCTCAAGTAGATGAACTAATGTCACATGAATTTGTGACATTATAACAAGAAGAGACACGTGAAAAAATGCCAGTCTTATCTCCCTCTACAATTTTCCCTTCAGTGATCCTCTCCACTTCTACGGTTTTAACTGCCATCTCTAGAGAAGACTCATAAATCTATACTGTAGTCCTCCCCTCTAGACTCAGCTCTATATGTATTTCCAACTGCACTGGGTATTGTTATAAATATTCAAAATTCATTGTGACCAAAACAAAACTATCTTTCCCCACAAATTTGCTCTTAGCACATTACCAAACAAGCACTCACTGGCATTTCCTTACAACTGCTGCCAAGCTCGACTCCTTCCTGCCTCCTCTCCATCTGTCCCTTTTGGGTAAACACTCATGTCTTATCTGGACAACTACAATGAACTCCTCACTATCTTACTTTTTCTCTCCCTGTCCTCCAGTCCATTTTTCATGCTAGAATCAAATTATCTTTTTAATTCCAGACTCTGGCCATTGCGGCTCAGTTGGTTGAGTTTTCCAGATACTGAGAGGTCATTGGTTAGGGCACATGATTGCTATAGGGATTTCAGGCTTGGTCCCCAGTAGGGGCATGCAGGAGGCAACTCATTAATGTTTCTCTCTCCCCCTTTCTCTCTCTAAAATCTATAAAAACATTAAAGCCGAGACAGGTTTGGCTCAGTGGATAGAGCGTCGGCCTTCGGACTGAAGGGTCCCGGGTTCGATTCTGGTCAGGGGCATGTACCTTGGTTGCGGACACATCCCCAGTGGGAAGT